CTCTCACTGAGCTACAGCCACAGCCCTGCATATTTTAAATTTTGAGACATTTTTAAACATGTATTAGATACATGTTTAGCAACATGTCTTGCTAAATTGCTTAGGGACTTGCTAAATTGCTGAGGCTGGCCTTGAACATTCAATTCTGTCTTGGCCTCCAGAGTTATTGGATTACAGGCATGTGTCACCAGCCGAACAAGTTCTGAATTTTCAAACTGAAAAATCCATTCAGTGACAAGTGAAATGAGTGAAAAGATTCATGTCAATATACATCCATGTGAAATTTCACAATTTCAATGATAAAGTAAAAGTCTTAAAAGCTTATATAAAAGAGGAAATAAGACGATAAAAACATGAGACAAAAAGCAACAAAATGAGACAGGCTCACATCAGAATTCTCATTAGCAAGACTGGAAACCAGAGGGCAATGGAGAAGTGGTTTCAAAGGTGTGAAGTTCATTTTGATTTTGAAACCATTACTCAGCCAAATTATTACTCATGTGTGAGGTCAAGACTGACACATGTTTTTATACCTTTATTTTATTTATTTATTGTTACGTAGTGCTGAGGATCAAACCCAGGGGCCCGCACGCAATAGGCGAGCGTTCTACCACTGAGTCACAACCCCAGCCCCAAGACTGACACATTTTTGAACATGGAAGAACTCATAATGTTTACCACCTAATGCAAGTACTAACACTAATTACTTGAGAAAATTCATGAAAGAAAAAATAATTTGCTAATCCCAATAGCTTTGGCAAGAGGATAGAAGGTTCATCAACTTAGCAAGGTTTTAAGCAACCTAGTGAGACCCAACCCAGTGAGACCAGTTCCGAAATAAAAAATAAAAAAGATGGGGATATAGTTTAATGGTTAAGTGCCTCTGGTTTCAATCCTGGTACCAAACAAACAAACAACAACAACAAAAAGGAAAAAAAAAAAGAAAGAAAAAGAAAAAACAATTTGCAAGAAAGAGAATGACATGAAATTTTTAAAAATGTTACTTCTAAGGAGATCCTAGAAAGAAGAAAGAAAGAAAGAAAGAGAAAGGAAGAAAGAAAGAAAGAGAAAGAAAAAGAAAGATGACAAGAAATCAAAGATAATCCACTGGATGATGATTTCTGAAATATCCTTCCTAAAGCAGCAGGGGGTTACAGTATCCAATATAGGACTTTTATATTCTGAGTCCAAGCACAATATTTTGTTAGCAGTAAGTACTTATATAATCACAATTCAGCAAAATTCTGTTTTTATTTTATTTAAATTTTAGAGAAATCTGTAGACAAAAATATAAATTATCTAATAATAGATGGAATATTACAAAACTGAGAGAGGGTAAATGAAAGAAAATTTATCAAATAGGACTAAATTTAGCATTTGAGTTACAATGGTAATCTCTGGAAGGGGAAGGGAGCCCAGAACATTGCTAAGGGGAGTTATAACAGTGGTAGTAAGGGAGGGTGTTTTTTCCCCTTTTCTTTCTTATGACTTTCTGTTTAATTTTTTTTGTTTACCCCATAAAACTTATTTTTAAAAGGGAAAAACAGGTCACTCTCATCAATAAAGGGTACAATAATTATAATATGAAATTTCACAATTTCAATGATAAAGCAAAAGTCTTAAAAGATTATATAAAAGAGGAAATAAGATGATAAAAACATGAGACAAACCCACTTGAATCAAATGTGTGAAATATGACATGTCAAGAACTATGTAATGTTTGAACAACCAATAATAAAAATTAAAAAAAAAAACATGAGACAAAAAGCAACAAAATGAGACAGGCTCACAACAGAATTCTCATTAGCAAGACTGGAAATCAGAGGGCAATGAAGAAGTGGTTTCAAAGGAGTGAAGATTGAAATGTCCAATAGAATATGGACTAAGTGGAGAAAATGAGATAGTATATGTAGTTGATAACATTAAAAATTATAAGTTAAAAAATAAACTTCAGAAATTACCATATATTATAAATTAATCCTACCCATATAAAACAATCTTATGAATGAGTGTGAATACATAAATATTGGTAAGATGTTTTCAGATTTTTAACAATAATTTACTCAAATGACAAGAGTCTTTGAAGAAACTTCATTACTGTAAACTACATTTTTTTCTCCTTGGTGGTACTGAGGATCCAACTCATGGCCTCATGCATGCTAGGCATACGCTCTACCACTGAGCTACATCCCCAATCCTGTGAACTACATTTTTAATAAGAAGTTTTTTTAAAAAAAAATTTTGTATTTTTAGAAGTAGTTGGACACAATACCTTCATTTTGTTTATTTTTATGTGGTGCTGAGGATCGAACCCAGGGCCTCACACATGCTAGATGAGAGCTCTACCACTGAGCCACAATCCCAGCCCCTAGTAAGAAGATTTTTAAACTTGACTACATTTTTTTTACTTTATTAATCTTTTTATGTATGACAGCAGAATGCATTACAATTCATATTACACATATAGAGCACAATTTTTCATATCTCTGGTTGTATATAAAGTATGTTCACACCAATTTGTGTCTTCATACATGTACTTTGGATAATGATGTCCATCACATTCCACCATCATTTCTAACCCCAATGGCCCCCTTCCCTTCCCCTCCCACTCTTCTGCCCTATCTAGAGTTTGTCTATTCCTTCCATGCTCCCCCTCCTTACCCCACTATGAATCAGCCTCCTTATATCAGAAAAAACATTTGGCATTTGTTTTTTGGGGATTGGCTAACTTAGCATTATCTTCTCCAACTCCATCCATTTAGGCAAATGCCATGATTTTATTCTCTTTTATTGCTGAGTAACATTCCTTTGTATATATATGCCACATTTTTTTTTTATCCATTCATCTACTGAAGGTATCTAGGTTGGTTTCACAGTTTAGCTATTTGTGAATTGTGCTGCTATAAACATTGATGTGGCTGTGTCCCTGTAGTATGCTGTTTTTAAGTCCTTTGGGTATAGACCAGAGGAGAGGGATAGCTGGGTCAAATAGTGGTTCCATTCCCAGTTCTCCAAGAAATCTCCATATTGCTTTCCATATTGGCTGCACCAATTTGCAGTCCCATCAACAATGTATGAGTGTACTTTTTCCCCCACATCCTCGCCAACACTTAATTGTTTGTATTCTTAATAGCTGCCATTCTGATTGGAGTGAGATGAAATCTTAGAATAGTTTTGATTTGCATTTTTCTAAATGCTAGTTATGATGAACATTTTTTCATACATTTGTTGACTGACTGTATATCCTCTTCTGAGAAGTGTCTTTTCAGGTCGTTGGCCCATTTATCGATAGGGTTATTTGTTTTTTTGGTGTTTAGCTTTTTGAGTTTTTTATATATCCTAGAGACTAGTGCTCTATCTGATGTGTGAGGGGTAAAAATTTGCTCTCTATTCACCTCACAGATTGTTTCTTTTGCTGAGAAGAAACTTTTTAGTTTGAATCCATCCCATTTATTGATTCTTGATTTTAATTCTTGTGCTATAGGAGTCTTATTAAGGAAGCTGGGGCTTAATTACACATGATGAAGATTAGGGCCTACTTTTTCTTCTATTAGGTTCAGGGTCTCTGGTTTAATTACTAAGTCCTTGATCCACTTTGAGTTGAGTTTTGTGCATGGTGAGAAATAGGGGTTTAATTTCATTTTGTTGCATATGGATTTCGAGTTTTCCCAGCACCATTTGTTGAAGAGGTTATCTTTTCTCTAATGTATGTTTTTGGCACCTTTGTCTAATACAAGATAACTGTAATTGTGTGGGTTTGTCTCTGTGTCCTCTATTCTGTACCACTGGTCTACCAGTCTATTTTGGTGCCAATATCATGCTGTTTTTGTTACTATTGCTCTGTAGTATAGTTTAAAGTCTGGTAAAGTGATGCCACCTGCTTCACTCTTCCTGCTAAGGATTGCTTTAGCTATTTTGGGTCTCTTATTTTTTCCAGATGAATTTCATGATTGCTTTTTCTATTTCTTTGAGGAATGTCATTGGGATTTTGATTGGAATTGCATTAAATCTGTATAGTGCTTTTCGTAGTATAGCCATTTTGATAAAATATTAATTCTGCCTATCCAAGAGCAAGGTAGATCTTTCCATCTTCTAAGGTCTTCTTTAACTTCTTTCTTTAACATTCTGTAGTTTTCATTGTAGAGATCTTTCACCTCTTTCATTAAATTGATTCCCGAGTATTTTATTTGTTTTGAGTCTACTGTAAATGGAGTAGTTTTCCTCATTTCCTTTTCAGAGGATTTGTCACTGATATACAGAAATGACTGTAATTTATGGATGTTGATTTTATATCCTGTTACTTTGCTGAATTCATTGATTAGTTCTAGAAGTTTTCTAGTGAAACTTTTTGTGTCTTCTAGGTATAGAATCATATCATCAGCAAATAAGTGCTAATTTAAGTTCTTCTTTTCCTATGCATTTCTTTGTTTGTCTAATTGTTCTGGCCAGTACTTCAAGAACTATGTTAAATAGAAGTGAAAGAGGGCATCCCTGTCTTGTTCCAGTTTTTAGAGAGAATGCCTTCAATTTTTTCTCCACTTAGAATGATGTTGGCCTGGGGCTTAGCCTTTACGATGTTAAGATATGTTCCTGTTATCCCTAATTTTTCTAGTGCTAAACCATATTTTTATTAGCCATTTATCAGTCTGTAAGTATGCACTAATTAATGTTTTTGGTATTATTCTAAAGAGAATAAGATGTAATTTTAATAATGTTTAAAATATTAACATATTAATTATTCTAGCTGTTACCCAATCTAGTGAACTTCAGACACATTATTAGTCTCTAAACAGTATTTTATATTTGGAAAAAACTAAAACTGAACCAAAATTGGGGACTTTTTGTATATAAAAAATTTTGATAACATATAACATCATAAAAATCAAGTAAGTTGGATTTTTGGTATTAGAAAACTCTAAAAACTATTAACATTATTAACTGTCTATTTTTGCTTCAAAGAACATTAAAATATATCTAGTAAAAAAATAATTTTTTCTTACCAGGCTATTTTCTTTCCAGGCTTCTGGGAACTTGGGTCTCTGTTTTTCCCTAGATACAAGAACCTGCATATCTTCAAAAGTAGGATGATTTCCAACTTCTGTCTGAAAAGCCATCTGATATTCTGGTACAGATTCACCTGTGCGGGTGTAGAAAAGAATGACAATATTTTCTATTATCATAAGTGAGAATGATAGGGGTATTTTTGATAAGGTAAGCAAAAGAAATTGTACATGTTAAAACCTTTCAGGTATTTAGAAATCCTGTTATAGGTTTAATGCTTTATTAATAAATACTGAGAATAGTCTCAAACATTTTTAAGAAATCAAATGGTAATTTCAATGACAAGAAGGTTTTTTTTTTTTTAATTGGTGCTAGGGATCAAACTGAGGGCCTTGTACATGCTAAGAATGAACTCTACCACTGCGCTATACCTCTAGCTCTATACCTATACCTCTGGACAGTTTGTTTGTTTTGTTTTTAATTTTTTAGTTATAGATGGACACAATACATTTTATTTATTTATTTATTTATTTTTATGTGGTGTTGAGAACTGAATCCAGTGCCTTACATATGCCAGGCAAGTGATCTACCACTGAGCCCCAACACTAGCCCTTTCCGTTTTCTTTTTGAGACAGGGTCTTGCTAAGTTGACCACATTGGTCTTGAACTCTTGGACTCAGGCGATTCTCCTGCCTCGGCCTCCTGAGTGCTGAGATTACAGGTAAACACCACTGCACCTAACTTAATAAAATGTTGATAAAATTAAATTTATTAATAAACATACTGTGCCATACAGAAGACCCCTGGGACCAACACTTTGAAAACCAATGGTCTAGTGGAAATCTTGGCAAAGAACCAGGAGAACTAGACACTTCCTGGATCCTCATCCCTGTCCCAGCCTATTGAAATGACCTAATAAATTAGAAGGAAGAACACCAGGATGGGGATTAGGGCAGTTAGGTTCTAATCTTGAGAGCATCTCTACTTCAGAAAACTCATTTAACCATACAAACACACACACACACACACACACACACACATACACATATGGTAGCTCAGTGGTAGAGGACTCACCGTGTGTGTCTAAGGCACTGAGTTTGAGCCTTGGCACTGCATAAAAATAAACAAAATAAAGGTATTGTGTCCATATGCAATTAAAAATATATATATATACTAAAATATAAATATAAAATATAGGGCTGGGGATGTGGCTCAAGCAGTAGCGTGCTTGCCTGGCATGCGTGCGGCCCGGGTTCGATCCTCATCACCACATACAAACAAAGATGTTGTGTCCGCTGAAAACTAAAAAATAAATATTAAAAAATTCTCTCTCTCTCTCTTTAAAAAAATATAAAATGCCATCTGTGAACTGCAATATATTTTATATTTATAAAATATAGTATATATAAAAAGTATATATATATTTAATTGTATATGGACACAATACCTTTATTTGTTTATTTTTATGGAGTGCCAAGGCTCAAATCCAGTGCCTTTCACATGCAAGGTGAGTATTCTACCACTGAGCTATAATCCCAGCCCCTTGTATTATGTTTTCAAAACAATCCATAAATTCCTTCAACAGTATTAAAAAATTACTGATTAATTCTATAATTTCCGTAATCTATACAGCAGAGCCCAAGTTATTAGAATATGATACTACCTATAAATACAAGTAATATTTTTTCATACTGTGAACTCTGAAGCAATACTTAGTTCTGACCAATTACTATTAACACTGAACTTGAGAGACAAATCTGTTAAATCATGCCAGTTAGCATATCATTTTTTCCTTGAAACTCATTATAAAACCTCAATTCATGTCATCTGTGAACTACAATATATTTACTAGTATATAGTATATATGTCTCTTGAGATATACACAGAACACATACATACACATATATTTCAAGTATTATTTATTAGCTGCTATTCTTCAAATGTTGGCTTAGTAAAATAATTAAAAATACACAATTCTACTTATTTGTTTCAATTATGTTCAAATTTAACTAGAAAACTTGCTAAATGAGATTGATGTGCAATCTTGTATGAATGCAGTGACATTAAGAATTATCAAAGAAATCAAGTGTGGTGGTGCACACTTGTGAAACCTATCTATTTGGTAAGTTAAAGCAGGAAAACTGCAAATTGGAGGATAGCCTAGACAACCGGGTAAGACCCAGTCTTGAAATAAAATTAAAAAGGGTTGGGGATACATCGCAGATGTGGAATATACCTGGATTCAAGCCCCTGTACCAGAAAAAAATTTTTTTTAAAATCAGCAAATAAATAAAAATCTACTAAATCTTCATGGTTATACATCTAATTGTTCAATAGATACTTGTTTAGAGCTAACTTAATGTGAGCACAAAAATGAATGTTAATAACAAACTTGTCATGGGAGATAATAGACTCACTGGATTTCCTTAAAACTTTATAATCATTGAATTGCTCAAGGGAAGTTTTACAATCTCATTTCTTTCAAAGTGTCCAGGACAG